AGAAGCCGTTCTTCCGGTTTCCGGTTAAGCCTTAATGCTCTCCCCCCACGGGGGAATTTCGAAAAATCCCTTCTTAGTGTGCATTGCCATGGCATACCCTACTTAAACGCAGATAAAAACAAAAAATCGCATCCAAAATAGTACAGTAGAAGCTGTTTTTCCGGTTAAGCCTTAATGCTCTTCCTCTCCCCTCGCGGAGGAATTTCGAAAAATCCCTTCTTAATGTGCGTTTCCATGACGTACCCTAACTGTGTACCAAATTTCACCTCTTTAGGTTAAGCGGTTTGCTCTGGGCGATGATGAATCAGTCAGTGAATGAGTCAGTCAGTCAGTCAGGACAAGCAATTTTATATACTGTATTTAAATTAACGCCAAACTTTCGATTTTGTGCATTACGTGGGAACAAATTGTTATACTGTATAACAATTTGTTCCCATATCATATCTAATTTTTAACTTTTCTATACTTCAAATCTTAAACATTTAGACTATAGTACTCTTTGTAAATATTGTAAATATCAGTAGATATTAGGATTCTCATACCAAAAATAAAAACTACAATAGGTTAAAAATGTGTATCAAAAACATAAACAAGTAAATTAACACATTATTCTACATCTCAGAAGACTGTTCTTGGATCACCTCCATCATCAGGTTTCAATCTCGTCGTACTTGAGGCAGAAGGTTGAGAACTTTAGTCGAGGTATCATTTATACACTTTCTGCAACTTCTATATTCTATTCAGTCGCATGACTTGCAACGTTTAGCGTAATAGTAGCTACGATAGACGTAACAGTAATCAGCATTTTTAAACGAGGTTGATGTATCTTCACTGTTCATCTCCCTTTGAGAAGCTCGTTTCTTTGTTCTCTTTCAAGAAGATTTCTTGGGCTGGCTTTTCTTTTTGTGTTCACAAATACAAAGACGGGATATTTAAACCGGAACTTAGACTTTCACCTATAGGATAACATGGTTTTTCACGTGATTCACAATTAAGCATGGTTGTCTTGTTTCACCAACAGTATACACTTAACAAATGTCCTATTTTCATTATTAAATAAAAATACCGATTGTCTTAGGTTTTTACCGCTAAATAGCATTCTAGAACAAGCATGCAATAATAGGATCTGTCGCAGAAGTTTACAGTTTTTTTTTCAAATTGTAGCCCAAAAAAACGTAAATAAAGTTCTACTAAGTTAATAATTATATTTTTTAAATTATTTTTTACTATTATTACTAAACACCAGTGGTTTAATTTGTTTGAAAAGTTACCTAAGTAACGTTTAATTATATATTTCATGTAATTAACGTTTAAACAGGAGCGCCAGGTATTAATGTGTAGTGTCGATATTTGTTACGCCGTTAGATAAATATTAAACTAAACAACTAGCACAAACTGCATAATTTGATATAGTTATCGATTCATATAATAATAAATGTACCAGGTGACTCAAATTTATCTTGTTCAGCACCTTCTGCAGAGAGAATCAATGGACAAAACTTCGTTAAATTTGATTTACATATGTTTCAGAACAGGAGGAACTTTAAGGGAGAAAAATAGTTCCAAAATAAAAAATTTTTTTCAATTATTTCTCTTGTACTTTCTTTAAGTATAAAAATTTAATTTACTATTGCATCCCCAATTATGTATTTTGTCCAGGTCCTGTTATTATCTCAATCATGTGGTATATTTTATAGGCAAGACCAGAGAATAAATAATTTTTCTATTAAAATAATAATTCTTTTTTAATTTTAACTTTAATAATACTGTTAAGTAGCAGTAGGCTAAATTTAATACTATTGCACTAGAAACGTCATAAATTAATCAATTTGAATTGGAAAATATTATCAAGATAATAATTAATGTAAATGGAAATTAAATAAGTGTTAATTTACCATTAAAATTGATTTACCAGACAAATTAATCTTATTTAAGTTCTCATTCCTGCATATTTACCTGCTTGTTGTTATAATGCTTTCCCATACTGTAGATATATAATTCAATTATTTATTTTCTATAATTAAATGTATTTACTGTATTAAATAATAAGAGTTACTACATTATCTCTACTCATCTTTCTGCTTAATATAATTATATTTTCATATCAATTATTAAAAATTATGAAAGCCTACATTTAACACAATGTTTAACTATTACTAAGAAGAATAATTTATTAAAAAAAATGCATAATAATCAATCAATCAAATATTTTTATTGGGGGTATTTCATTTAGTAAGTCTATCTGGTCAGGCTGAACGTAAACTAACACTATAATAATTAACATTTTATATAAATGTTTCATTACAGTATTATCAATTTGTAATAAGATTAGAATATAATTAGTTGCTTTTTTGTATAAATTTTACAGAACCAATGTTTTTTCTTACTATTAGACAAAGTCCTCCATTAGGTCTCCCAGGTCCTATTGGTTTCTGTGCGTCAAAAGATATATAATTATATATTCCATTCTATTTTTTATAATTTCATTAACTAGTGTGACTAGCCAGATTTCAGTTACACACAAGATATCAGTATTATATAGTAGTTAAAAGAAATCTTGAGTTTTTATTTTGTGGATTAAGACTTAACAGTTCCAATTTGTGATATATAAATTAAAATTATTTGAAATTTTAATATGTTGATCCTTTTCACATTCTAACTCTGAATTAATTATGTTATTGGGTTTTTCTGTAGAGAATACTTCAAAAAATCATCAGAGTATACTAATTGATCTTGAATATAACTATATGTAATTTCCAGTTTATATTGAGTTAATTCATTTTCTTGTCTTAGTTTAATAAATTCATTTTCTATTTTATCATTTTTTATCCTTATTTGTCGAATTTGATCTTTAAATTCTTTAATTTTATTTTGAATTATATTAATTTCTTTTCTTATAAGTGAAAATTGAATCACCAGCTTATCATTACTATTAGTTATCAGTTCGACTATCTTCTTCCTTAATTCTTCTGTTGAAATGTCTATTACAATGCATAATAATTAATTTAGGTTATAAATTAAAAATGAATAGTTTAGTTATTAAAGCATATTTCAAATTTTAATAATAACAATAATAAATTTAAGTTATTCTAACAAAATAATATCGATTCTTTCTACATAACATTATATATTATATAGAAAAAAATAACGCATAAAATCAATGACGATATTTGATTTTGTATATACTGATACATTACTCTGAACAGTTTCAACAATTTTAATATTAAATATTGAATTTCGTGGAACTGGATCCATCCTAGAAAATCTAAGATGGATCCAGAGATAAGGAGGATAACCAAGAAAAATCTTGGTTATCTTCCTTATCTCAGATGAATAGAAACGTCAGATAAAAAGCTTAAGTATTTATTCAGGAATAAAGAGCAATTTGTATACTGCTAATAAGTTATATTTTCAATAAATTGATAATAGCATTCACTTTTCTCTTGTCCACGAATCTTTAAAATGTTGTTTACAATTCTAGACAAAGAAGATCACAAAAATCTTTAACTTTATATTATTATTGACAATAATAATAATAATCGTTTTAATCGAATTTTACTTATAATACAATTAAATTTTTTTGTCTTATAATAATAAATTGTAACTTTTAAAATTTTATTTTAAATATATAAATATATTTTTCGTATAAATTAATATTTATGAGAGTAAACCATAAATGTTAGTTGTTATCCGTGTCATTATTGATACAATCTATATCACATGTATAAATAATTGTATAAATTAACCATTATATTGTAAATATATACCTCGATTTAACGGATAAAATAATTTGTCGTAAAGGAAAAATTTTATTCGTGGATATTTTATTTCTTTCAAGACATTCAGAATATATATATATATATAATAAAGTTCAGTTTTAACTCTGAAGTTTTATTAACAGTGTATAATTTTTAATTGTTTTATTTAAAAGAAATTGTTGAATTTAAACGTTTAATTTTTTTTCATCAAAGAAATTGATGCTGATTATAACTTTATACGTTCTTTTAGAGTTTATTTAATGTTTGTTTAATAACTGTAATTACTTCTCATTCATTTTTCATCTCTTTTTATGATGCTTACTTAAGTTTCATCTATAATAATACAGTATTGTTAATAATTGTTAATTGCTTGTACAGTGTTTGAGCCACTTTTGACCCCTTCTTAACCTCTCTCTCTCTCACTGTTGTGTTCAATAATGTATTAATACTTTTGATAACCTCTCCCCTTTAATGACGTGTACAATATTTCATGGATCCTCTGACATTAAAGAAATAGCTTAAATAATTTGATAGTTTATTCACTGATTAGTAAGTAGACAGAACAAATTTTCGAGCCACTATAACTAAAAAACAGTCTACTTTAGCAATGCTTTGATCCCTTTCTTTCTATTGGTATAATCACCTTTCGCGATTTCTTCCCCCCTAAATTGTACAAGTAATTAATTAATTAACACCCTTATATCAACACTAAAATCCATTATACTACAGTTAAAATATTTGAGCTTTCTCCAGAAAATTTTTTTATAAAATTATTATTAATTGACTTGTGCGAGCAATGTCCTTGTAGTCTGGGTTTTATTAATTGGACACCAAAAATGTTCAAGTGTCATACCAAAAATATCAATTATAATTGTTCCATTCTAATAGTTCCTGCAAAAATAAATTAGCTTTGTTACTGTTCTTAATTATTTGCTTCTGCTAAATAAACAAGAAATGGCCATGACACATTATGGTATGTTCTGAGACACAACTAATATTTTTAAAATAGCATGACAGCGTTTTTTTAAAATAATATTTCTGGTCTTAATAGTCAATAAAATTTTAATTAAATAATTTAAAACGTTTATATAACTCTGTATTTAAATATTAATAATAATAAAATTTTCAACATAAAATCATTGCGTATGTGTTGCAAAGAGATTTCAGGATAATACTAAAAGCGTTTTAGTTGTATTGCGTGATTATAAATACGAATTATAAATACAGTATTATAAATACGACTCACGTTTCAAACATAGTAAATTAAATAAATTTGAATAAAATTTTATAGCCGTTCTTTGATAGAAATTTATGAAAATAAAGAAAAATTTTGCATTTGATAAAACATTTACTTCTAAAAAAAAATTGAATTTTAATTATTTTTAATTGATTTTTTTTCTAATTATTAACAGAAATTTAATTCTTAAAATCAAAACTATTGAACTAAATAAATAATAATTTAATTTACAATAAAATTGAATCAAATACAGTAATAGAAATCAATCTTAGCACGAAAATAGCAAATTCTCCAACACCTTATTTGCTGAGAAAAATTTTAAAATTTCACGAATGAAAGATTCGTGAACACCTTTTTAATAATGGAAATTTAAACACGAGACTTTACATTAAACACGTGCACGACCCACTTCTTGTTCAAATGACTCTTACTCATACAAAGTATCAACATTTAGACAACTAGAAGGGCTTTTCTATACTACTCTAGTATGAATGACAGATGATGAACTGTATAGAATTACAGCAATTGTTATAACGTTGGGTTATAGAAAAGCCATAATTGATGAACTAATTTAGAAGTTATAAAGAACACAAAGAACAAAAAGAATCGGAAATAGGATAACAATTGAAGAAAATTATTATTATTTAATAAACTTAGATTGAAAAGAGAGAGAAAAATCTAAATTTTCAATTTTTATTGAATATCTTCATAGAACTAAGTCTAAGAGGATCAATAAAATTCTCCTACAGATACTGTTTTATAGTTATATCTTAAGTTTTAAAACTAATGAAAAAGATGATAATCGATCGATAAAACTGATTCTTTACAATATATATTTAGTAGTAGATCTATTTTGGGTATAATTTTCATTGATCTAGTGTCATATTAAGGATACATGAATAAATTTGCTAGGTTATTTGATCTACATAATAAACATCTATATAAAAAGAAGAGAGAAACCAAATTTTCTTATAGCTATACTTTATTCTTTATACACAAACGAAACTAAGTACAGTCGACTCCCCTATAACACTGTTGATAATTCCGTGTTACATGAATTCCATGTTGTACGAGTCACTTAGATTTTACAAATACGTGAGCCGTTCACAGCCTGGCATATGTATTTGTAAAATCTAAGTGNAAAAATTTTAATATTTCACGAATGAAAGATTCGTGAACACCTTTTTAATAATGGAAATTTAAACACGAGACTTTACATTAAACACGTGCACGACCCACTTCTTGTTCAAATGACTCTTACTCATACAAAGTATCAACATTTAGACAACTAGAAGGGCTTTTCTATACTACTCTAGTATGAATGACAGATGATGAACTGTATAGAATTACAGCAATTGTTATAACGTTGGGTTATAGAAAAGCCATAATTGATGAACTAATTTAGAAGTTATAAAGAACACAAAGAACAAAAAGAATCGGAAATAGGATAATAATTGAAGAAAATTATTATTATTTAATAAACTTAGATTGAAAAGAGAGAGAAAAATCTAAATTTTCAATTTTTATTGAATATCTTCATAGAACTAAGTCTAAGAGGATCAATAAAATTCTCCTACAGATACTGTTTTATAGTTATATCTTAAGTTTTAAAACTAATGAAAAAGATGATAATCGATCGATAAAACTGATTCTTTACAATATATATTTAGTAGTAGATCTATTTTGGGTATAATTTTCATTGATCTAGTGTCATATTAAGGATACATGAATAAATTTGCTAGGTTATTTGATCTACATAATAAACATCTATATAAAAAGAAGAGAGAAACCAAATTTTCTTATAGCTATACTTTATTCTTTATACACAAACGAAACTAAGTACAGTCGACTCCCCTATAACACTGTTGATAATTCCGTGTTACATGAATTCCATGTTGTACGAGTCACTTAGATTTTACAAATACGTGAGCCGTTCACAGCCTGGCATATGTATTTGTAAAATCTAAGTGACTCGTACAACATGGAATTCATATAAAACGGAATAATCAACAGTGTTATAGGGGGGTCGACTTGTAGTCTAAAAAAAAAAAAAACAATAGAACAGTAGAACTTTGACAAACAATTTCAATTTTTTTTAATTTTATAATTTATTCTAAAATTCTCATTTAAAATTAGAAAATTGCATATTTGTCTGTTGTTATTTGACGTACAGACTATATTTTACTTGTAGAAATACAGATTTTTCTCAGCTCACTAATAAACAGTTTGAATTGATATTTGTATGTTGTGTAGAAACTAAATCAATAATTGTATTTTTAGATATCAGATCGATTTCAAATTTCATATTCAAGTCATTTACTGAACTTTCCTTAACTTTTTTTTTTTTTTTTAAATGTGCAGTCAACTTAATTATATCTTAAACCAGTGATGTAACGTCTTGTATAAATAGAAGATGTAAATGAATACACTAGTTTTTCTTATAGTATAATTCATAAAAGAAAGATTAAAGTAACAATATTATTACAAAATGATTTATTTATGCTAATTTTTATCATTTAATTTTAAATGGCCGTTCGTTTTATCCGATTCTACTGTATCTATAGTTAATATGTCATTGTTATTTAATAATGACATATTAACAAAATTTATTTCACGTAAATGAATAGTTACATACATTTCTTGAATCAATTGAATCTCTCTATCTAGCCAATTCTTTTCGTTCATACAAGTAGAAATCCTCCTGTTCTTCCTGTTTTTTTCCTTCTGTGTTTCTTGGCTTTTCTATTTTTAGATATTACACACCTGTTAAAGGTAAAGTCAAGGAGATTGATCATGCTGCTTGAACAGAAGTAGTAAAAGACGAATTCTTTGATCAAAGTATTGGTTTCGTACGTAAACATTTGCAAACAAGGAATAGTAGTTTTACAAATAAACAAAATAATGAGTCAGATAATGTTAACAGGTAGATATATTATTCGAATAATCATACACAGTAGGAATAATAAACAGAAAGGAACAACGAATAAAGGATTAGTTTTCATTAGTTTAATTGATATTTTTTTGTATAATTTCTTTCAATTTGTAATATTTCTAAACTATCAAGAAGATAGATTACTTCTAAATTTTTGTTCTCAAGTAAATGTAGGAAGATGCTTTTTAAATTATATATAGAAGACTAATGCACATATAATGTAATATTGTATAATATACAGTATATAATATTTTTGTGCTGTTAAATTACATACAAGTAATAATAATATACTAAATTGACTCATGATTAAGACTGAGACTTCGTAATTTCATATTAATATAGTCTATTCGTGTGTAAATTTCTTCTAAAGTTTTCACAATATGTATTCTTGCCACTAAGTGAACAGCGTGCATCAATTAAAGTCATTTTGTTCGTGTTAATTTCAAACGTAATGTAATAAAACTATTAGTTTAATATAAACAAGTAATAAATTTAAATTGCTACATGAGTAATAATGCATAAATGAAATCATTATAAAGGTTTATGTTAAGTGAAAACATTAAAATCTATAAAAGAATAAAATAAATCTTAAAACAAATAGCAAAGTCAATTGACTTTTAAGCAGCAGAAAATTAGTTTTTTCATAATTTATTATTCACAAATTTTAAAATCGAATTAAATACTCAATGCCTATCAGTCCTTCCTTAATCTCAAATCAATGATAAATAAATATACGATGAAGACTGTCGACAAACTGTATAATGATTCTATTAAAGAGAAGTATAAATGCCGCATTAGACAATGGTGCGTGTGTAAATAATCGATGAGAATGTTAATAAATGCCTTTATGAGCGACATTAATTATTTCCAATTGTATAATTTGACATGTAATCCTATATATTTCTTCGATTATTCAAATTGTATTAGCTTATTAATAGCAATTTATCGAAGGTCAATCGATTGTATAACAATTTCCCAAGTAATATTATGATGAATAAATTGTAAATAAAAACTTTATTGTTCATTTTGAAAATATTGGAATAGATCTGTAAAAGTTTGACGCAGTTAATTCACTTCATTAATTAAGCAAACATCTATTGCAAATCTGTTATGGTTACATAAGAATATTGACAATGCCCGTTGCTATCACTGAAAGAAGCATTCAACTAACGTTTTAAATCACGTTTCTAAGTTTTAGTTTACTAAACTACGCTACTTCAATATCAACTGAAAGCGAATTTCATTAAATACTTTATTTTTAATAGAAAACAAATGGATCCTAAAACGTTATTAGGTGTTTATAGGCTAACTGCATTTCTACAGATTGTACATAGAAATAATAATAAAGATAGAAGTAAGAATTTTATAAGGAATGACAATATTTAAAACAACACCCAGTTTTATTGGGATGCAATTTGAATAAAAATCGTAGACCTATAACGTCTGTCTGTCTTTCCTTAATCTCGAAAATGGTGCTAGAAAAATGAAATTCAAGACTATATATGAAAAGTTTAGGGATAGGAGGCCCCGAAGTAATGTTATTTAGATACATGATTGACATGATTTCATTGTTAACAGGAAAGATATGATGTACTGTACACGAGTAAGACACTACTAAACTTAAGGGTATTGTGAATAAAAATTTCGACGATGTCACAACAAATAATACACTAAATGCAAATACTGGTAAATACAATGGATATATCATTAATATCGAATAATTTTAACTAAGAAAGTAGCTCATCAGTGACCGAGTGGATAAAACCATTTTTATACTGATAAAAGTAAGAATAAATAATACTTATTCATTATTATTGTATTTAAAACTACAATAAACATAAATTTGACCATTGACTTTCCAAATGGCCCGTAATAATTTATTGACCCCCTAGTTAAATTAATTGACCCCGCGATGTCGCTAGCCATCGTGTTGGGAATCCCTGTTATAAAAGTGAAACTATCATTTGGTAGACCAAGAAAATTGAAATATCCTATATCATTAACCCGATTATAATAAATTATGCCTTCAAATTTGGAAATTGAATAGTGTCCTAATTTCACTAGGGGAAAAAAAACACAAATGTAAACATACCTGAAGTGTGCGAGAAACAATACAGTGCCTTAAAATGGTTTTGACCCATTAAACTATTTTATTTAATTACGTTTTTCCACAGATCGAACATTTACTCAAAATAAAAGTAACATTTTATTAGAATTACATTTTGTTTTAGAATTTATTTACATAATTAGACATTTGATCTTATAATTTTTATACAAGATGAGGTCAAAAGTCTCTTGCTTCTTATTATTAAAGATATATTAACTTTTTAAATATAGATGTGACTGTATCATTTATCTTAACAATTATTTTCAAGGTAAACAAATAGGTCCCATCTCCCCCCATTCAATTCTCCATACATGACTTACTATTTAATTATATTAATCAGTACCTTTACTTGTAGCGATGATAAGTTTATAACCATATAAATTAATTAAATAAACATTTTATTTTTTAGGGGTTATTGTAGATCATGGCATAACAGTTGGAGGTGATAATGTCTTTGATACTTTGGATGAACTTACTTCTGATTTAGAGCAGAGGATGGGTGAATCTGTACAAATAAATTGGTTAGGAAAAAGAGCTATTCATATTAATGATCTTAAAATGGAATCTAAAGGTAAGGATAATAAAATATAAATAATTTAATTTAATTTAATTTATTTATATTACCATATTTTTAATTTTTAAAATTTGCTCACAAAAATAAATTAAAATAGCAATTTTTTTTAATTAAAAAAATGCTATTTTATAAGGTATTTAGACGAAAATTTGAAATTACTCAATATTTATTCCATTATTATATTTCATTATTTAATAAATCAATATAAAAATTTTTTTTTTTTACATGAAAGGAGTGTTTTAATGTTAACTTCTACTATAATATTAGAAGTATTTAAGGAGCATAATTAAGTCTAAGTATCTTTTATGCTGAAAAGATATAGTAAGACTGTTATAATTACGGTATTAGTTTATAATAATATTTGTAAATAGTAAACATAATAAGAATTTTTAAGCGTGTTAAGTATACACAAAACAGTAATAAAAATTGAAAAAATTTTTTAGATTGGCGATTACAAAAATCACATCGATAAAATTCCCATTAAAAGTAATGTCAATAATTTAAAAAAAAAAAAAAAAAAAAACGTTGAACGTTAGTCATTTATATAATCTAAACAAACGATTGAATTATCGAGTTACGATCAAATGCATCTTAGCAACGAATATAAACTTAGTTTTTGCATAAAGTTTATATCCAACTCGCCACTATTGTATCATATAATAGTCATTCGTGCAACAATCATTTGTGATTTTGTAATTTCTAATGATGAATATTTAATGATTTTTTTTCTTTTTTTTTTGAGAATAATAATCTTTTTTATTATTAATTTTGAAGTTATTAAATTAATTTGGATCGATTTTTCAATGCGTAATTATTAAAATAGTCTAATTGTCGATTAACTTGTTTTTTTTTTCTCTTGTAATTATTAAATCTATAAAATGTACTGGATTCGTTCGAAATGTTGTTTTGCTGCCAACAATATTTTTTTAAAAAAAAGGCAATTTTTGGAGACTTTTGACTCACTCCATACAAATTATTTATGAAGTTTTAAAGCAAATTATGTAGTATCTATGGATATATTTTTAATTTATCAACATGGAATCGAAAACTATAAAAGAAAGTTGCTGCTTACAAGCTTAAACCAAGAGAGAGTGGAATAAAACAGCAAATGATATCATTCTTGTTTGAATTTGTATGAGAAATTCATAGCAAACCAGTTAAAAATAACTAATTTGAGGTCGAATTCACATAAAGGCCTTTTAGTGCCTGCGGTATGGAGTTAAAAAAATGATACAGTATGTCTGGTTTTTTAGATATGAATACATTATTCATTTAAAAAAAACTCTGGCTTAATAAAGTATTTATATTATGATAAACATTAATTACTTTTCCGTGTTCGCTGAAGATAACACAGATTATAGATCGATTTTTTATATATATAACGAGAGATCATTTATGAAATCAACAAGAGAGAGTTGGATAACAAGATAATTACGTTTCGACTTCAATTGTAACTTGCCTAATTACTTAGAATTTTTCTTATTAACTGCATATAACATGATAATGTAAGCCTGTACCCAGAACTTGATTCAGAATTGTTATGGCCCTGCACCTAAATAAATCAATTAAATTGAAGAAAATTTAGAAAACAACGTTTTTATAAGTAAAATAAATATCATAACAAACTAAGATACAAGTATAATCTTTTTTATATTTATATTTTTCTATCGGTTGTTATATAATACAATACTCTAACGTAACTAAAACGGATATTAGGGACTAATATCTACATTGTTCTCTATGTGATGAAGAAAAAACTCTTAGATATTGTATATAAATGTATTTATCATATTAAAATCTTTCTCTCGTATTCGTTTTCTTACAAAGATTAGGGACAGAGTTCTGTGGACCCCTGTTTTATGTTATTAAATATCATATAATATCTGCTAAAGAAAATAGTTTTGGTGTTTTTATGTAATAAACATTTATTTCTAAACAACTTATTTCCCGTTTCTATGAACATATTCGTTGTTATAACTTATAAGGAAGTTTAAATTTTAGATGGTGACACTTAAATCAATTTTGAAGATTGTTTACAAAGTAACAACATAAATCTATCGATTTTATTTTATCAAGGTCGAGTCTAAATAGAAACTCATTTAGAAACTTTTATGACCATGAATTAAATGCGAATTCTCTTTATATTTACAAATACAATTAAATATTTCTATTTATTTATATTTTATTTTGTAATAAAGTATTAATAGTTTATTACAAAATGATTATAACTGATAAATAATGAAGCTTCTTTATTAATTCTGTACATAATTTTTACACTACGAAATGATCAACAAATTCAAGACTCATTCTAGTATTAATTTAAATTTTAACTGTACATTTTGGTTTCTCATTTATTTTAATACTAGCTGTTACCCGCGGTTTCGCTCGCGCGGATTTTGCAAGCAAACCCTATTTACATTCAATATTTCAACAACCATAGTAATTGTTATATAACACCTACAGCTGAGAATAAAACGAACTGCTTTTAATTTGATGAATTTTCTGGAACGTTTGCAATCGTTCTATAATCGAACCAATAAGCAGAAAAAATTCGAATTTAAAACGGTTCGAACATTTGGTTAAAGAATCGAAATATATAAAAAAATATTTATAAAAATGTCTGAAATGTTATCAATTTAATATCTTTAAGTAGTCAATGAAGACTAAACGTAATTAAAAACAAAAAAATGGCATCTAAAATAGTACAGTAGAAACCGTTCTCTTGGTTAAGCCTTAATGCTCTCTCCCCGCGGGAGGATCTCGAAAAATCCCTTGTTAGTGTGCGTTCTCGTGACGTACTCTCCCTAACTGTGTACAAAATTTCAAGTTTCAAGTCTTAACCGTGCTGAAATGCTCGTATACCCGCGCGCCATTTATCGTAGGATCAGTGGCAAGGGCGGCTTGTCCCGAGAAGCACTTTTTAGGTGCGCGGCAAAATTACGTTTTAGGGGGCGGCAAAATTTCACAATAAATAATAATGATATCTTGTGAGAATTTGAACTATTTTATTTCATATTTTCGTCCACCTACGATTCGGACCGATTGAAATGAGCACGGAATAGTGTTACCATCCATCCGGACAGTCCGAGATTTCGTGCACAATCTGTCGACCTTTTTTATTGTTGCTTGTACGATTTATTCGTATATATATGTATACAGTAGAGCCTTGATTATCCGACCCCCGATCAACCGTCATATCGGTTAACCGACCGTCCTAGTCTGCAAATGTCCGCTAGTGATATGGCACTACAATATTTGGTTATGTCTTGGCTACTTTAATATTACTTTTACGTGTTTTAGCTGGCAACACTGTATCGACCATAAAAGGGAGCCAGTATTTAAACGAGGCTTAATTTTCTAATTTTTAACGATACAATAGCGACGATTATTATTTTAAAAAATTTTTGTTAGGCTTAACATCGACGAAAATTCAACGCATAGCAGGTTAATAGCGATATACTAATATACTAATTACATGGGATAAAATAATATACTACACTAATAATACATTTTTTATACTTTTCGGTTATCCGACTTTTCAATTATCCGACCAACCCCAGTCCCCAATTTAGTCGGATAATCGAGGCTCTACTGTATACACCTCCAATATGAAATAGAGCTAGGTCATCTGGGTCACTTACGTTACTCCTACTCAAGTCTCTTTAGTCGCTAACTGTAACTGATTTAGAACCAGCATGCACTGCACATTATTCTTCGCAACGCAAAATGAGATACGCATGCGTCAGGAACTTCTGTTCGAACAAACCACATCTGCCATCCGGGTCAGCGATTTTCAAAAGGTGGCTACACTAGTACGGAATTTTTCATTACTTATTCNTATCCACCACACATTTTATTTCACCAAGTAAGTTTTTATAATTTTATTTTTAATTTTAGCCCTTATATCGTGGCTAGCGATTCGGAATGTAATTGCGATATTGAAAATTTATTTTTAAAAAGTTTTGGCTCAAGAACATATAATGAAAAAGAAAACATTATTAAAAGAGAAAGGCCAATGCTTAAGTTAAATATAAACGCTTCAATAAAAAAATTTGTTCGACATTTTCACGATAAAATGGCTCTGTAAATGCATAAAAATGCATTTACAGAGTGAAATTAGTGTGTGGAATAAGAATGGCTTTGACAATTTAGCTCGCAAAAGACACGAAAAATCGTCGATTCTTTCGTATTTGAAGCAATTTGGAAATCGAAGCGGAACAGAATTTAACTTGTTTATTTATTAAGTACGTCAGATAAATAATCTATTAAAAATATACATTTAAAGAAAGAATTAACTGATTGCCCCTGAAAGTCGGCTTCTTATAGAAACACAGGTTCCCAATCATCAAATGTCACGGCACGCCACTGTTTGGGTGGGAGTAACGTAAATAACCTAGATGACTTAGCTCTATTGGATATGAAATAAAATGGTTCAAATTTTTACAAGATATTATTATTATTTATTGTGAAATTTTGCCCCCCTAAAAAGTGCCGCCCCTGCCGCTCCCACTACGCTACGCCACTGCCTCTAGGTTCTGGAACTTTCTAGAAAACACTGCAACATTTTCATTGAAGCGTCACACACTTTCAACCCCCATATCTCCCACACCCTTATAGCTATCGAGACACAACCACCATAGTGCACGATGGTAGACTTGGGGCAACTACCACACACAAACACCATTCATGTGCGATGTGTAGTTTTGGTTGCAGAGTGACGTATAGGCACAAACACGTCCATTTATATATATATATAATTATAATATAATATAATATAATATATATATATATCTCTTTCGCTGCACGAAGTATAGTTAGCAAAATAACTAAAGTCAAGCTTTTGAAACTGATGCAACACAAAACAGGTCTAACGAACAACTGGTTTTCCACCATGTTGCCATTTGGCTTAACACGAAAAAAAAAAAAAAAATATGCACTGGAACGCACTTATTGCATCCAGTACTCAAAGTAGTTCGCCATTTATCGCATCTATATAACTAACAGCATTTACCACTGATCTTTACTTTCCCGAACGTTTATATATATAAACAGAGAGAAAACATGGCAATCGGTCAAAAAATGCCCCCAAGACTTTTACATTTTTGACTTGGGACCTTGAAATGCCCAGAAATGCAAAAAATTCGGGTTTTTAAAATATGTGTATGGTTGTTAGTGTGGAGGACACAATTTTTTCACCCACTTTAAAGCTTAATACGTTCCCATGTTTTAGACATTTTCTTATCATTTTTCTTAAGTGAAGATAGGATTCAGATAGAGGGAATATGGTTAATTGTAGACATTTTTCTAAATAATTCTCAATGTAAGTTAGCATGTGAATCATTTACTACCGAGCACATACTTTTGGTATTAAAAACTGGGTCATCAGAAACAGAAATTTATATTGTGTTTATGTGCTATACAAGGAATTTCAAGCAGTAAGTAAATTTATTCCGATTAATATCTTGAGGTAGAATTCTTGAGATTCAACATACCACTCAAATTCAAGAATCACTAAGACTATTTATTTAAATCAAAATTAAGTAAATTAATTTACTTATAGAACAAACAAATGGAAAAACATTGACATCATGCAATGGAAAATGTGTATATATATATTTCCCATTCTATTTGCATTGAAAATTAATGTACAACGGATGGAATAGTAATAGATCAGATCACATTTGTTCTCATTTTTTATAATAATAATGTCTTAAAGGAGCCTTTGAAGTTGATGATAGGAAGGGAGACACATTTTATCAAAATTATTTACATGTTGATAAAATTTCATACTAGTTTTACTCATAAAAAATTCTATTTTAATATATATATAATACAGAGATGTTATGCTATTTCGAGTCGATTCTCTTACATCCATTGTGTCTTGTCGCCTACAAATGTTAGAGAACTGAAACTTATCCTGACGATCACAGAAACTNACACACACAGCACGTGTATATATATACTGTATATATTACGCTTTAATTTTAGGCATAAATATCCTTAGCCTTTCCTAGGGATTCGCTCAGTAATATGCCAATACTGGAAATCTGAATAACTAGTATTCTAGACTTTTAACACTACTTACATAATAGGAACCACGCAATTGCTAGGCTCTCACAGTTTAAAATAACATATTGATTAACGATAAATAATTGTTTATTCAGTACAATACTTAAAATGAAAATTAAAAAAGTTCGTGGTTTTATCAAAGTCTTTAGTGGATTATTGAAAAAATTGAATATTTTATCTATTATTCAAGTCTTTATTATTTGTATATGTAAGCACATACGATGCTAATTTTTACTTTTGTTCTAACACGGGAAGTATTTCATCGTGTTAAGTTTGACCCTTCGATTTTTTGAAAATTTCGACGTTTTAAGTTCCCTGAACCCCCAAAAGTAAAAAAAGGGTGGGTGGGTGTGTGTGTGTGTGTGTGTTACCATGCCAAAAAATTTGGCTTGGTAACTTGTATATAAGAGGCATTATTGGTAATAAATTTTGGAGTGTGGAACTCGAGAGTGCGAGGAGATATACAGGGATCATTTATGATACCACGAGTGGAACCAGACTTAATGAAAATTTTATTCATTGTTGGCATTTACAATTTTTTAAATCTCATCTCTATCCTCAAAATTAACCCCTTTTCAGTTTTATAATAATAATAATATAAAAGTTATTTTTAGTAACATCTTACTAAACACATACAATTTTAACTTTGTGCTAATGTGTCTTTTAGTATTTTTTTTTTTTTAATTTGCTGGATTTTTTCTCTTTTGTGTGGTTTGTTGTATGTTAGAATGTGCAACGTAAACCTCCTGTTGTTCTCGGATACCGAAAGTAGTTAATCAACTATACTTGTTTCTGATATTTATTATTCAATTAGCTGCTTGTTTAACGCTTGATATATAAAAACATCACTTAAATTTATAATAAAATGGTATCAATCAGTTTTATATATTAAATATACAAGAAATAATAAATTCCAGTTGTTAATTATAAATTTCGTATGATTTATATTGTTTCTTAAAGCTTAAAATTTAACGTTATATGTCCGAAGAATTTATTTTTATTTTAATAAAGCAAGAAAAATACATTATAATTCCTATGTAGTTGTTTCCAATCGTAAAACAATTCATTTAATTGAATAAAAAAAAAATTAAAAAAAATAATTTACATAATAATTATAATGAAAATTATTTAAAAAAAATTTTTACTAATAAAATTAAATTTCAATTTCTAGGTAAAGATTTGACTGCAGTTCTAACGATGGTTGACTGTAGATTAGCACAAGAAACAGTTTCTATTATGGAGAAAAAAGATTTTCAGACTGTTTTATATATGTCTATTATGGCTAGAGACTGTTCTCGTCCTCCAAAGAATTACGGCTTTGGATTTCCTTTCATAAAAACGGATACAGAAAAAAATTATATAGATATCGTTCCTCTATTAAAAGATTTAAGAATGGAATGTTTAGCAAGATGGAACGACGTTATTCTTATTCATGATAATACTATAGGTAAGTTACGTTGAAACTAAAAGAAAAGATATTATTTCGTCTATGATTAATATCTAAATTCTGATTCAAACATTTTTAATTGACAATAATATAATAAGAAATGTGATAAAATCTTTCACAAAGTTTTAATCTTGAACTTCTCTTCGCCATTATTTTATATAGAAAATGCCAGTGGAGAGTAGCAGAAAATGCTTTCAAATAGACAAAAAAAAAAAATCGATCTAAGTACAGTACAGATTATTATATCGTCAAGATATTTACAATAGATTGTTTTATAATTTATTTAGTTAAATTTTAGTTATAAATTGATTATTATAATAGCTAAAATGCTTTAAATACTACGTGCTTTAATACATACATAATACACGCTAAAAAAAACGAGCCTACTCTCCTCTATCTATATAGAAAGATATATAGACTTTTTTAGATGTTGATATTATTGAAATTATTATTATTTTTATTTTTTTTTAATCTTTAATTTTAGGTATTGATTACTTAGAATCAATTGTATCAGTTTTTATGGAGCCTGGTTATTCAGTTAGAGCGGCATCAATAACAAGTTTTGATTTATGTGAAGAAAGTCAAAGTTGCACCGAAAGTTATGAAGTTATGGTTACGATTTTAGATTCTTTTAAACATGATGAATATAAAAATAATTATTTACTAATTGCTGGCAAGGAATCTGTAACGAAATCTCTGAAAATGGTACATACATTTCTTTGTCTTTTCCATAAATTAATATTATACTGATCTAATTAGAGGATAACCCAAAAGTCAGTTTAACCGAATTATATTTTTAACAATAGTATATTTAAATAAATAAATCAATCAAAAATATATTACGGTAAACTGAATTTTGGATTACCCTGTATTCATTTTATTATTTAAAATAAATTTATCTATTGAATTAATTAATTTATTATAATTATTGAGTATATTTTTTTTATAATAAATAATTATTGATATAAATGAATAGTAAATAACCTTTCTTCTATCCACATTCCTTGAATTTTTATAACAATATATATACTTACATACACTTTTATTTAAAATGTATGCATGTGTATGTATAGTGTTTAGCAGAATTGTTAATTATTCTTTTGTAAGACACCTAAATGTAAAAGTGAACTAACCATAATAGAAATTTGAATAAGATATTCGAAAATAAACCTGCTCTTATAACGATATGTTTTATATTTATATAAAAATCTAAATTAATATATCCACAGATAACAGTAAGTACGATACACATAAAGATTGCATTGTGAGACAATCAGAACGCGATTCAATCGATGAACAATATACAGTACTGTATTTATTTCCAACAATCACGCATAATTTTTTTTATTAATTATAATCATGAAAGCAAACTGGAAAATATTCTCTAAAAGATGCATTTAGACCTCGGTTTTCACATCATACTTCTCGTGATAACAATCGAATCATGCTGTCATCTAACTAACTCTATATACGAGAAAATTTTGAATTGAAATTATGTGACTTCAGGTAAAGACCTGTAAGTTCGTATATTGTTAATCGGGGTCTCCTTTTTGTACATTTTCCATATCTAATCTCGATTTTTATCTAGCTAACTTTGTTCTGGAGATTAATGAAGGATCGACAGTCAGGTCTGTGTAATAGGAAATGTAGCCTATAGGTCTATTAAATTTGAAAATTGCAGATAAAAATTTAAATTTTATAATAGTTTACATAAATATATATATATAAATACATGTAAACATTTTGAGAAATTTACCATCTTTCCAATGAAAATATTTAGCCAGTAAACACTGGTGTAAAGCTTAATACATACAGTATTTACAAATACATATAATTTTAATTAATAAATGTTTCTATTGCCAATAATTATAATAAATACCTACTTTTATGAATTCGAAAAGGGTTAAATTTCATTGATAGTTCGTGAGTTGCATTGGCTTATCCTATCTTTCAAGGGGAGAGTGTTTCCTGAGAAGACATTCAACAGGAAACTGTCCCTGTTTAGGTATTAGACACACGAAGAACATTTGGAAAATTACACGTGGCCAGCCTGTTAGCACTTTAAACATTTTCAGCTGACAGACAAAAATTTTGAGTTGTGTTGAAAAATTTTCTTATAATACAGTATTAACAGGTGTAAATAGGGGAGAAAATTGGAAACATTGGAGAGAGAGCTCTTAAGCAAATTCCCCATGTTTCCAATTATCAGATGCTCTGTTAAGTGGACTCTGTTAAGCCGATTCCATGTGCAATTTGATTAAGATTCTAATTAATTATGCTTAATTAATTCTAATATTGATTCTAATTAATCTAAATAATAGATTAATCATTTCGGTAATCTCAGCATGCTTACATTTATTTAAATAGTTTTTGGAGCTATTTATTAGTGTGTAAATGTTTAAAATTTCACAAGAATCTTTTAATACAGTACTTCTGAACTTTCATTTGAAAAAAAAATGTATGTTTCCTTGTGTTAAAAGATATCAATTTATATTATATATTTATCTAACAGATGAAAAGGCAAAATATGTTGACAAAGTCAAAAATGTGGCTAGTTATATTAACGGATGAACCACCATACATAGACTTGGAAAATGAAATAGATAATTTACCAGTAGAATCAAATGTTGCTTTTGCATACAAGTCAACCAAAGATGAAGAATGTCCTGTAAGTATTTTCTCTTAAATTAATTAATTATTTTTATTTATAGATAGATTTTTTTAAAATTTATTTTAAAATTTTAGACAGAAAGTGGTTGTCAGGTAAAAGTAGCAATGACAGCATTCGCTGATGCAGTTGGAAAATTGAAGAAAGAAAACAAATTTAAAATGTCTAATGCTAACGAAAAAGCTCAAACTAAAAACTCGCTATTGACTTCTATTAAGGTAAGCAGAATATTATAAACAATTATATGTAAATTAGGTTAATAATATATACAAAGTGAAGAGAAACAACGTATGTAACTCAATAGCATATAAAGAAAGTCACTTAACACCTCTACTACAGAATATAGAATGTATCCAAAGTTAATTCGCTCATGTCAAGAACACATTAGACCAAGGGGAAAACGGATTGATGTGTGACATCTTGAATGCAACTCCGAAACTGTATATGGAAAAGGGGTTATGTGACACATAATTTAAGGTCAGAATTTCACAAAGAAATGATTAGTGAAAAATTTTATTGGCCTCCCTCAAACGGTTAGAGTCATGCACGTTAAATGAAGTGCTCAATGTACTGTACATTCTTTGGGTATATTCTATATTATGCAGTAGGGGTGTTAAATGATATCTTTTTCCACCCTATATGTTAACTGAATTTGTAAACGTAATTATTTGATTATAACTGATCGCATTATTTTTTTTATTTTCGAAGGAAAATCTAAAAGAAACGACAGAATGTGGTGGTTGTATAAAATTTATAATAAAAACTAGTGGAGCTCATCATGTTTCGACAAAGCAGAAAGGATATTTAGGTAAATTTCAGACAATAGGAGAATGGTCACCTTATAAAGGAATCGAGATGACAAATGATTTATTCCCATCTGCATCGGGAAATTTTAGGGGAAAAAAAATTAATATAGGAGTATTGCATGTAAGTTTAATTTATTTTATATATAAAATTATTAAAGTAATTTGAATGAAGAATTTTCTTCGTGTTTAAAAAATAATTCTTAGCAAATTTTATATTTTATTCATTTATTTTACTAACAAGTAAGTAAATAATTAACTGTTTTTAATTTATAAAATATAATATGAGTTATTCATTTAAAAAGTACAGAATTTTATTAACTTTGAAGCTAGAAAATGAAATTTGAAGTAATTTTAAAGTAATATTTTTATAAAATTTTAAATATTTCTTGTACTGTGCATTAATATTCTTAATCTACTTGGCATTATTTTAAAATATATAAATAGATTCGGATTATTTTAATATCTGTAAAACATACTGTATATTTTTAACTGTTTAATACAATAAAACTCCAAGTTGGCACATAATATTCTGGAAATACCCTCTAAATTATAATCTTAATATGAACCGGTATATGGTGTCGTTAGGTGCTTCTACGTGATATACTGTCATCACGCACCGAATAGTTAAGTAATTCCTGACTGGGTAACATGTATTTCACTTTAAGTGTGAAGTACGTTATTGTTTATCTCGATAGCAGTGTCCTCCTTTCCTATTAGACGACGTGCCTTTTGATATAAGAAGAAAAATAAGGTATCAACAGGGTAAAGTACAAGCTTATTGTACAATATTTTTCATGTGAAGAAAGCAGATTTACTGCACCATGTCGTCTTAGCATATTTGATAGCACTGGGCTAAAACATTTCGGCACCTTAATCACATTGGATTGTGCAATAATTAAGTAGTATATATAATTAATTAAATAACTTTCAGTGTCTAAAAATTCCTAATAATATTTTTTTTATTTAATTTTGACGACATTTCAAATTAAATCGAAATTTTTTCATCCAAAATTGGGGAGGGGGGGAACCATTTCAACGTACTCTGTTCTTAAGCGCTCTTGGATCAGTTGCGTGCCGGAAAAAAGTCGTTAGCGTGCCAATGGTGCCCATCCCTGGTCTATGTACTTGTATAATTTAACGTGAGAATAATATTAAGTGTACGTTTTGTTCTCGTTAATAATTCACAATATTATAAAGGAATTACGCCTTAATAGACTAATATGGAGGAAGCTATTGCAAGGATGGGTACAGTCTTCTGTTTACGTTGCTGCAATCAGCAAGAATAAGAAAATGTATGTAAATATGTGTGTATGTGTCTTTCATAAATGCAAAAAACAAAAAAAAGTGAATATTTTATACACATTTTAATTGTAAAATATCGAAATTTGTCGATATAGGCTATAAAATATCGAAAAATTTGACATGAAAATAACTAATATTTATTGAATTTTGAATAAAGTTATAATGTACTAATCTCGAAATACAACTGATATGAATTAATTTTTTTGTTGTTTATATAAAATATCAATAAGGTAAACCTTCGGTAGTTGGTGTCAGTGTTACGATAGAAACGTAATTACTTTTAATATTTGTTTTTTCGTCGTGGCTAGTGCGTACAAGTCACGATTAATTATTTAAATATAGGCAATTGTTATGAAGTGATCGAATTATTTTCTACTAATTACATAAAGTGTTTTGTGTTTTTTTTTTTTATTTTCCTGAACCTTTTATGCTCTTGAGATTTGGCGAAATTAACGGTTATGCTTATTTTTTGACAAGAGTTATGAATTTAAATTTCGGTTATATTTGCAAAGAATTAATGTATATATTATTTTGTACCCCTCTAGAACTACACGTATATATATATTTATTTATGTATATACATGCACCTTTTGTTTTTATAACGTACAGTATAGTATTTAACTGTTATACGAAGTATTAACTACAAATACATAAACATAAAACTTATTTTAAATTTGCTGTATTTAAAGAGAAAAAATTCAATTAATATATTTAAATTTGAAATCAATTTTTTATTATTTAGATGTAGATAATAGTTATAAAATAAAGAAAAATACTAATTTAATATCATTCGATGACTGAAGAACTTATCCATTTGTAGATAAGAAAAAGTGCTTTTGAGTCGGATGAATCTTTTCTGATACGAACGTAATGTTGATGGTAATAAACGATTACAATATTATAAGAAAGGGACAGTTTCTTCCGGAACAACAATATAATTTAAAGTAACCTTCGATTCCTCGTAGGATCTCTTCATGCCTCGATACATGAGACGATACGGTCGAGCATGTACTGTATTTTGTACAGGCCAACTATTATACGAGCTGGCGAAGCAACTTTTACAAAATGACCATCGTGCTTTCCTTAGCTCGATCATGAATGCACCTTTCTCAAACTCCATCAAGTCTATAAAGGCATGCCTGGCATTCGAAGACTACGAAACAACTAATACTGTACACAGAAAATTCTAAACGTAGAGAGCCTATGAGAGTCTTTTTATAAAATACTGGAGTAGCAATTTTAAAACACTGATAGTATTAGGCTACGTGTGGTACAATCGGAGCATAGCTGTGTAGACACAGACAGACATAGCTTTAGGCCATAGCTATGTGAATAACTTATTTCTCGATGAGTGTATTATTTATAAAAATTATAATTATTTTAAAAGATCAGAAAAATATAGATATTTATTTCTAATTATTCTTATAATTAGAAATGATTATGCAAGGACAAAAAATAGATTTTTGTCCTTGTAATATAAATATACATAAACCTCGTAAACTTTAACAATATTTTAATTTTGTGAATATTAACTATTAATAATTTAGTTTAAAATGCTTATTTCATATTATTTATTTTGTTGTAATGTTTTATTATTATGTAAATAAATAAATTCTAAATATTCAAGTAATGATCAGATGATTCAAATAATTAATATAAGATGGATATAAATCATTTTAAATATACACAAGTAAAACTTTTTACTTTATTTCTAAAATTATAAAGTAAAAAAAAAAAGAAATAATAATGATATTAAACATGAAAAAAATCAGGAGAAATATTGGATAACAGATCTATAAAAAATAAAATCCAATAAGTTTTGTAAGTCAAGGCCAAATCTTCTTATAATAAGATTTTTTAGCTGTTAACCGTTTCAAATTGATCTGATTGTTGCTATTTGAGTGTAAACATAAAATAATAACTATGTACACATAGCAATCTCTCATTTTCATTTTTTTTTTTTAATTCTAAATGGTTGTTATAGATTTTCCTATAATCGATGAGATTTAATGAAACAATTTTAATTTTATAATAATTAATTAGTTTTATTTAAATGAAAAATTTGATTTTCTGAAGAGTTTACACAAGATTTTAAATTATTAACTTAAACTGTTAAATTTGAATTTACACACAAAGATTCATTTATTATAATTATAATTATAATTTTAATTTTTCAGTCTCCTCCAATAGCTATTGTTGAAAGTAGTAGGAAAGTGCGAGGTGTTGTGGCTGAATTAGTCAAAGAACTTGGAAAGACTCTGAATTTTACGTAAGATTTTCTTTTATTACATTATTGTAAATATAAATTGTAATGTAAATTGATTATTTATAATTTAATATATATCGAATTTAGAGTTTAACAAGCATTTATCCTTATAACCGTTTCACTTTAGATTTGGTGTGGCCTTTACCCTCTATCAAATTGTTATAAGTTTAAAAAATGTGAGGCTCTAAAGCTTAGTTAAATAAGTTAAGCCATGTCTTTAGCCAAAAATTATTAAATTTACAATTGAAAATTGTAAATGACATTATGATCTAGTCTATATAATTTAGATTGAAATTAAATATGTTACATTTAATATATATATAGTTTATATTGGACTTATTTAGTTTTATTGACGTCTCTTATTAGAATTTTACTGAATTAAAATAAAAATCGTTAATATTAGTTATAAATTTTGACTTTATTATTAGATGTAATTGGGTAGTTCAAAGAGATAGACAGTTCGGAACAAGACAGAGTAATGGAGATTGGAGTGGTTTAATCGGAGCTATTCTCAAAAAGGTTTGTATATTAAAATATTTTTTAATAATTAATTTATAATTGGATTGATTTACACTATATATTGACCTAAATTAATTTATGAAACTTGTTTTTATTACTGTTTAAAAAATATTTTCGATAATTACTAGATATATAATATTTATTTCATTATTATTTAACTCATATATAGTCTGAACTTTAAAAGAATATAATGACAAATAACTATTTAAGGCACAGTATATATACAGTGTATTATATGTCTGGAATGTTTGTGGTATTATAGTATTTAAGAACTAATTGCATCAAGTATTGAAGGATGAAACTCGCTAGGTATTAAAGAAAAATAATAAAACAATTGCTAAAGTACTTCCACGATATCATTTCCCTCATCTCTTAATTATAAACTTCATAAATTTACATTCTTTATCACTTAAATTAGAAGGTTAAATAATTTTAAAAAGGAGGACATTTTTATAGTTAATAAGGATAATGAGTTTAACGATTTAATCTTTATAAAATTAATAAAATTAATTATGTTTTTTTTTTTTCTAGGAGATAGAATTTGCTGCTCAGGCATTTTATATGACAGAAGACAGATTACAAGTTGTAAATTTTACTACACCAATTATAGATGATCCTTACGCTATTCTTATGAGACGACCAAATTTGGCTCATGATTATTTATTTTTGGCTCCATTTACTTTTGATGTAAGTCGTTTTATGAAGTATTTAAATTAATATTTATATTATAAATTATTATTATTATTTTCTTTTCGCCATTTTTAGACTTGGGTTTGTGTGGCAATTGCCGTTTTCGTTATTGGCCCAATTTTAAATATTATACATCGTTGCAGTAAATATTATGAATATAATGACATGGCTGATGGAAAAGGATTATTCACTCTGTCTAATTGTGCCTGGTATTGCTATGGAGCTCTTGTGCAACAAGGTAATTTTTACTCATATATTGTAATTATATTGTTACAATTGAGTTAAAAACATTTATTCTAAGTTATCATTATTCTCCATTTTCTCCTTAAATGTTTCCTTATTTTTTTACTTTCGATCAGTCTTTTCCTGTATTTTTGAGATAATTTTTTGTCAAAAGTATACGAGAAGATTTGTTTTTCTGGTAGATCGAATCGAATATTTATCGACAATAGTTATTAGATCTCTGCAGAGCTGTTGAGGGCTTTGACGAGGCCCGGATAGAGAGGACCCTTCGGCCCTTTATCGGGCTCCTTTTTGCAATTTTTTAAACGAGTGAAATACTGTACAAAGAATGTTTATTTATTAATTAAAAGTAGTTTTAAAGATTTTATTTTGTGTTCGTAAAAATAACATTAATTTATTGGGATAGGAACCACTACGAGCACACGGAAAAATCCCCAGCTCGATGGCCCTAGACCATGTATCTATCTATTTGGTCTACCACGGAACATTTAAAATAGTTAATATAACTTTTAGAATAATCTATTATTTTCTTCCATCCTCGTGTGACAAACCATCTTACTTTCTAAATCTCTTTCTTAATGCAAAGATTATCTTTTGCTATGTATCATCTTTCTTAGTCTTCATTTCATAATCTGTCCTGTGTCCCATTTTGTTCTTCCAACGAAATGCCGATTAATAAACTTTGTAAGAATATATGCACAGAACAGTACGTTGTATGTTATAAAACATTCCGAAAAATTCAAATTTGTTTTATTTTTATTTAAAATTATATTAGTATAAAATTACATTTAATAAGGATGAAATAGGAAAAATTATAATATAAATTAGAATTTTAATATAAAAATTATTTTACTAGTATTTAAATAGAAAATTATTCTCACAACATTTATTTAAATAATAATAATTATTATAATAAAAAGCATAGACACCATTAAGCAATCGTGGGCTCGAAAGGCACTCCGTGGCAGATACCCCTATGATCTGGTCCAGGATTTTGTTGACAAAACTGAAAAGATTACGTTAAGACAAAAATGCAACTTTTTAATATGTCAAAATAGGTGAAAGCTTAAGTAACAGCACATTTAAATAAACTGTTGAACTTAAAACGAACAGTACATTCTAAATCATTAAAGAAAATAATACAATAATAAACTTACACATAAATTATGTGATTAACGTTATACAATCTTATTTATTGCAACAACTTAAACTGTTATGACACTTTGAATTGCACAAGAGTCCCTTTCTTTTACAATTGCATTTATTCGTGGAACATTTTCTTTTTTCGATGACAGCGTGTATAGTCTTGCCCTCCACTTTTCGAATTAGCTGCAACTGCTTCTCTCAGCAATATTTCTTGAGAAGAAATCTCATCTATGGAAAGTAACTTTTCTTTACAAATTACGAACTGATCTGTTAATAATGTCTTTTATTCGGATATCGCCGATGCCTTACCGACGATACCCCTCTCATCCTACACCACTCGACCTGACAAACCAATCCTCATCTCACGGGATCGAAAGAACAAAAATTTTATCTAGTGACAAAGTGGTTTCCACCAAACCGTTGCCGGGAAAAGAGGTACGATCTTGTCCTACCTCCGACTACCCACAAAGGATTTGGCGACAGACTGTCGCCTCTCTGTTAACTTCGGCTTCTCGGGTGTCGTTTCGACCTCCACCAAAGCTTATCTGTGCTTGTCGACATACACCGGCGATTGTTCGAATGTATAATAATATAACCAAATATTCGGTCTTTCACCGACGTATTTTGTATGTGTCGACATTCACTAATTTTGGTCTTTCACAGTAACAGTAAAGAGTGAGATTAGTTATTTGGAATTTCGAATAAACTACTCGTTTGTTGTTAATGCAGAAAAGATCAATCATCGTTTGTAATTAAGTTTTTTTTTATTGTCTCTGAAATTTGATTTATTAATTTAAATTTTCTTAAATTAAAATCGTTTTATTATACTTGTGTTATTTAGATAGGTCCTCAAAATTTAGGCCGGGCCCAACAGTTTTGTATTAGGCCTATATCTTTTATAATATTGATATAAAAATGTATGATACGTAAGTGATATCTTTGATAGAAAATTTAGAGTTATGAATTATTAATGCAAATTCCACATTTATTTTATTCTGATATGCAATTTCTGTGAAAGCTTTTAATTAACTAATTAAGATAAAAAATTTCTATAACAATTTAGGTGTAAATTCATTAATGTAAACAATTCAGTTCGATAAATAAGTTAGCAAATAATTTTTTTATATCTATGTCAATTAAGGAAATTGTAGCTAATTCAAATATTTGGCGTTACTCCCAACTATCCTATTTTCTAAATTATCAAGAAATTGCTCTAATTTCAATATACATATGTATAAGGTATATATTAATTTTGTTTCCATGGATAGCATTGTAATCATTAATTTAATATCGATTAGTTTTTCTAAACTTCACGTGTCCATATGTGATAGTTACCAATAACAATTATTATTGTGAAACAAAAAGGAGTGTTTTTATAATAATTAATACAAACACACGAGGATCGAAAGGTAGAAATGCATAAACGAGAAAAATAAAGAAAATAACAAACAGTAATGGTTTTAAAATATTTTTTTAATACCACCAGTTTATTGTTTTTAACGTTTCACGGATGAAGAGTTAGGAAAGCAAAAGAGATAGCTGAGATTTTATATATTTTAAATATAATTTTAATTAAAAAAATCCCCGACTTTGGTAAAAATATATAAAAAAAGTTAATAGTTCTTATTCTTTTACAAATAGATTTTAATACAAGTACAGTACTAATACATCTTTTACAGTATACATTTGTAAATTAAACAGTCTCAATAGTAAATGATTATAGAATAAATTGAGATCATTACGTAATTTCAACCACACTATTTGTTGTTATATTAATTATTAACACATAGTCCAGTTAATCATATATACATCTATCAGTCATCTATATAACTCTTTTCAGGAGAAAATGAATTGAAATATTCCTTTTGAATTGAAATAACTTGAATTCTGATTCGTATCGGTAGTTCGTATATAGTTAATCGGGGCCTCCTACCCCTAAGGTTTCTATCTGATCTTGTCTTTCATCTAACACCGAGATTAAAGAAAGACGGACAGACAAACACGTTTCTTGTTTCCTCACTTATTTGAAGTGCCAATTCACCATCTTCACCATCCTCAAAAAAAACCTGAGAAGCCCTGTTGTAATATACGACGATGATAGTTATTACTATTGACATCGACGAAATATTTCGAATAATCAGAACAAACTTTATTATTTCCACTTGAGAATAATAATTTTAGCTTTATCATCATTAAAAATATATAATAAATGTCACCGTAGTCTAGTAAAGTGTCGGTTATTTGTCCTAAGTGGAAACCACAGGAAACCGAATAATAATACACTATAGGTCTACGTACTTTGCTGTATTTTGAAATAAATTGTTACGGGTCAATAATGAAATAGAAACTATTAAAAAAACCCTTCGTTTATTTAGTTCAAAATTGCGTGATACTTGATTCTTACACGTAATTCTATACTGACCTGTTTTCAATCAAAAGCAGTTTTTAAAACGTTTAGCAAAAAAGATAAAATCAGAAAAACAAACACAAGAAAATAGAAGATTTTAATATACAGATTAAAATGCCTCATACAGTAATTTTCTGTATGGTCTTAAATTATATTTCTTTAGGTTCTATTTAGGTATCACTTACTTCATAATGTTGTTTTGTCTGATAAAATATTTTACTTTTAGGAGCCTAACACTCCATTTTATGAAGCTTGACTGTATAAAACCTCCTTTAATTAAAAGACTGCTTCAAGCTGCATAAAAGACTGCATAAAATCTCCATTATAAGAGACTGCAAATTATACAGTCTCTTTATAAAGGAAAAGTCACGACAGATTTCAGTAATACTGTGTGGATAAAGTCTTGGTTTTAACCTTTATTAAGCAATGGGAAAATAAATGCTTCTCAAACGTTTTTAAGAGAATCGAAGTTAAAAAAATTCCGAGCTACTTATGAACAAGTTTTTCAGGATATTTTAAACAATTAAATAAATTTAAAACAATTATTAGTTGTCTCCGATAACACATTGAATTGTTAAATGTGACTGTAGACAGTTATATTTCAATATCACTTCTAATAATTCTTATGATTTCTTATTATTTGTAGCATTAGTATAGTATGTCCCCTTTTCATATCTTATAAAACAAGCAGACATAAAACTTGAAGCTATAATTTATTTTATAGTTTTTACGATTTTATTTTTAATAGACAGAAATCCCAAAAACGAATCTTAAAAGAAAGAAAATGTATATTTTTAATAGAAAATAAATCTATGTAATGTATTCTATACACATAAAATTGTTTATAACATATATAAAAAGCTTAACTTTAACAAAAAAAAAAAAAATTCAGAACTTTTAAATCGTTTTAAGAAAAAGTTAATTTCATGCTTAATATGCAATTGTAATTTTTTTATTTTTTTTATTTTTAGGAGGAAATCATTTGCCTGCAGCTTTATCTGGTAGGATATTGGTTGGATTTTGGTGGTTATTTGTGATTGTTACAGTTACAACTTACAGTGGAAATCTTGTTGCCGTTTTGACATTTCCCAAAATAAGAAATCCCATCGACAGCGTGGACGATATGCTCAGTTATGGTCGATTGAGATGGGGAACGTACGAAGGAGAAGCTTTAATTGAATATCTCAAGGTATTTATTATGCACAAGTAAAAATACTGTTTCCAATATATCGATAATCTTTTAATGTGTTAACTGCTAGTTATTTACTATATGTGAAAACTTTTAATAAACTACCATAGTCACTAAAAGTTGTATAAAACAATAACAATTATGAAAAGAGAGTTATCATGTTTTTCACGTTGCTCAATATTTTTTTTTCTATCGTTTTGTGTATAAATAATTAAGGGTTCAGTAATGAATATTTTATTAAGATATAGAAAAGTGAAGTAAATACGGGTACACCCTGACATGATTGATGGGAGTCCCTCAACAGAAACGTAAGTCGAACATAAAAGTAGTAGTGATCGTGGGATATGTTTCTCAAGGCCTCTTACTTATTACATATATACCCATTTTGGGAATAAATTATAATAATAATAATGTAAGACTTGAATCTATAGTGGATAGTGATGATTCCTTCAAAGTCTTTAGTAAAATTTAACTTTTGTAAAATATACAGCTTCATAAATGATTTTTCCCCCACGAAATTAAAGAAGACAAGGAAAAAATGCTTCTTTTACAGATAGAAATATGTACCAAAAGCTTTGAAAAGTTTATAAGGGAGTTTTGGTGATTAATTTTGTAATCAAATCTTTCTTTAGTTACCTTCTATACTTTTTAACTATTTGTCAATTCTTCCTATTTACTCTTTAAGAATCGATTCATTTGTCTTGCTTGTCCCTTTGAATGCCGCACATGAGAAATTGTGATGATAAACTATTCGTTATCTGAATGGAAACAGAAAATAAAGTGAGAGTTTAAAAGAAAAAAAATGTTTAAATTGATATCATAGTTTGGTTAAGAAGTAATTAATCTACTTAGTTTGTCTTTTGAGAAATCGGTCCTTTAGATATGTTTTATCCTGCGAGGAAAATTTAGAAATTTTATGAAGGAAAGAACAATAATCTTAACTTACAATTAAACAAATTAATAATAATTTAATTTGAAAATTATATTATTATTTCTTACATCATTTAACAAGTTACAAAAGTAAGACAAATATATATAGGAGGTGGTCCAAAAGTCAGTGAATCTTGTTTTTAAGGGCGTCAACAATTTATGAAAGTGTGGCAAAGTCTTGTAATTTGTTTATTATATATAATAAAAGAGACGATTGTTTTAGTTTTTAACCTTTTCTCCTTGATGGACACTAAGAGATCCCTTTTTTAATGTCTATCGTGGATTCGATTAGACTCACAATGGGGAAAGATATTAGAGGAAGATGAGATCTGATATGAGGATGATTCAGAACATGGGATTTAAAATAAGCAATAAAATATTTTAACGACATAACAATTTAGTCTTTACAATAATTAACTGATTTTTGAATCGCCTTGTAGTTTATGTATATTTTCTTATAATTTAGACATAATTAACGGTGCATATATCCACGAAAATCTTAAATAAATAAATTTTAAAGCATTATTATAAATTAAAACATGTAATGAGTTATTACAAATCTTCTATTACTTTTTTTTTAAGAATGCCAGAACGAAACAAATGCAAAAACTGAACAAAGGACTTCAGATTTATAAAAGAGACGATTACGAAATGATTCTAAAAAAAGTATTAAATAGTCGATTTGTATTTTTGGCTGGAAAATCTGAACTGATAGAAATCCAATCCAAGCATCACAACGAAACTAAAAAATGTCGATTCAGTATCAGTAACAACGATGTCCTGAGAGAATCAGCATCTATTCCTGTACCAAAAAATTGGCCATATCTTACTCGAGTTAATGAAGAGTATGTATCTTATATTTTAAAAAACCTTTATAAGTATTATATTTTAAGCTTTTAATAATTTTTTTTATATTATTTTAATTCAATTTTATAACAACATATTTAACTTAGTTAAAATTTTGAAAGCTTATCTAACATCTACTATTTTCAATTGATAATTACTCTCCTGTGTTTTCAAATAGAGTGATACCGATTATGTTGGTCCCTCAATCTTCAATTTTCGGCTATTTCGTACAATGNAACTGTAATAAAACAAATTAATATGAATTATTAAAGAACTGTTAATTGAAGATATGTAATCCTTATTCAAATTTAAGGGTTTTAATATAAATTAATTCTTTATAAATTGAAATATGACGAGACTAATATTCATTTTTTCCCTGTAATTTCTTTTCAATAAGTATATTTATCACTTAACTAAATATAATTTTGAGGCTTCTGCATAAATAGGTAAAGACGGATTCTTGCTGTTCTCTTTATGTTGTACTTCATTACATAACATCGATTAAACTTGCGAGTTTTAAATGAGGCTGATTTTTATTTATTTACTTGCAAAGGTTTCTAAAATATAATGCATAAATAAGACAAGATACAACTTCTTCGTTTGCTGAATAAGTCATAGTACAGTTTATTATTTAGATTATACTCTTATTTTGTTATTTATTTATTAATATTTTACATTTTAATGTAATATTATTATATATTTCGTGATATTTCTTATAATAATTGTTAAAAATATTATAGTTACATTTAAATATCATAGAAAGATTTTTTTAACTATGATGAATATTCTGAAAAATTAATAGTAAATGACTATTTTTATTAATTATCAAATACTTTTTGTAGAATTAGAAGATATATTGAATCAGGATTGCTCACACGGTGGTTTAGATCGCATCTACCACCAGATAATGAATGTACAGTCGTTAGTAAACCACAAGCTGGAGATACTCGGAAAATTGACGTGGAACAGATGCTAGGATCGTTTTATTTACTAGGATTAGGATGCTTATTTGCTCTTATAGCATTTATATGCGAAATAACCTACAGAAAGTGTTTAAAACGTAAAGAAAAAGCCGCTGAGCCAGGACAGAAATCGGATGTAAACAAGAAAAACATGGGATTCTTCGGAAGAAGACCTCAAAATTCACCTTTCTTAAATCCTCCTGACTTAATCAAGAGAGATGATAAAATAGATGATAAAACTAGATTAATGTCAGCCGAAAGTAGGCACCAACCACCCGATCGTCCAACATATTTTTCATACGGATCTAGATATTAAAATTATATCCTCGATAAAAATGAAAATATATAAATAAGAATAAACATATCATGCATTGTAGTATACACAATGGTTTCTATCTAATACAAGAAAAATTTTCTGTAGCAATTATTATTCAAAAAAAAAACATCAGGGATAGTTTGTGTTATTGTAAGATTTATGTTATTCTTACTCGTACTCTATACTGACTTCTGTATATTTAAAAGAACCTTAAAGTACAATATAGGTAATACACTGTATTCTGTACAGAAATTTAAACATTTTTCTTCGTTATTTCCTTAAAAACTCGGCAATATCCCTGTTTAAATTGACGATTTTTAATGTATTCAAGTCGCAACTTCAAAACTTGTCACTAACAAGTTCATAGTAGTCACGATAACTTAATGATATAAACATTGACTATCTCGAATTAGCATTGATTGGATCAAGTACAAAAGTCTTGTAAAAAGTAAAGCTTTTTTTACATTATATAAATCACTTTAGTGACGAGAATAGCCATTATTACAAAACGAAATTGAAGCATTCGAAGATATAATTCACCCACTTAATCAATTTCTTTAAATAGTTTTTAAAATTGATAAACAAATTTGGACTGTTTTCAAGTGATTTATTGTAATTTCTACTTAAAAGTTACAAAAATCTAATTTAAAATGAGATCCTCTATGTTCAGTAAACAATTTTTATAACATTTCAATGCATTGAAGACAATCAAAAGTGTAAGTATATTATTGTCATTTACTATTATTTCATCGAATCTTTAATTTGTAAATTACGTGACAAAGTAGATGATTAGCTTTTCGTGTTCTGTGTAATTAATTTAATTTTTATTTAGTAAATAAAAATTAAAATTAATTACACAGGATATTGTTCTAAATCATCGTGTAGTTACGAAGTATTTATGATCACTTCATTTAGAAAAAAAAAAAAAAATGAGCACTTTTGATGTAATATAAGAAAGTATATTTATGAAATTTGCTATTTTCTTAAATATCTGTCATGTGTAACATGATTCGGAGTATAATATAAATTGAATATTTATTATTCAGTTTTTTTTTACTCTTAACTAGAATACTTAAAAACTATTTGTAAATAATTTAAAAAATACTATAAATTCACTTGTATGTTGTCCACAATACACATTTTTTCCATACTGAACTGCTCAATTTTTTTTTAAAAAAGACATTTCAACGGGAATTCTAGTAAATTAAAAACCAAAAAAACAAATTTATAATGTGAATTTTATAGCACGACGTAACGAAATATGTATTTTAAAGCACTGTTCTGTGTGAATATTAAAGCTTAAGTATTTGTATTAAAGCTGTGTGAATATTAAAAAAAAAGATGATATTTTAAATCTATATTTTATTTTAGCAGATTTTTATTATTTTTAACTTGGAATTTCCATCACTATAAATCGTTCAGACATTGTTTAAACATCATCTAAACGATTTACACAAATAACAAAGAATAAAAAAGGAAATACGAATCAATGGCCTTGTAATAAGCATCAGAATATGGCAAAGAATCTTGTAGAATATAAACATATTGGGAGAACTTTTAATGTAAAATAACATGAAATTACAATGCTCGAACCTTTTCACTCTTCTCTTTTATTAGTTTAAATTTTCTTCATTACAGATTTGGAAAATATATTGCTATTAAAAAAAATAAATAAAAAGAACTCAGTATTTTATTGAATTTCAAGTTAAAATTAAAATTTTACCGTATTTTACTTGCATTTAAGATCGTGTTCTTGTATGTACAGTACAATACCAGCTTATTTTGGCACTACACTGTTGTGTCAATGTAAAAAAAAAAACAGTACAATGATACAGTAGCTATTTAGTGACATCTCTATAGTAACCATTATTAAAAGTAAAAACTTCCGATACTATAAAAGATTTTTTTAGATAATTTGTGGCAAAGGCATATCCAGAGGATGCTTATAATTCTGCTGAACCCTCATGATACCAAAGAAATCGTTTTTGTTATTTTAAAATAAATATAACTATAACAACACATATTGCATGACTTCAATTAGATTTAAATAGAGAACTGAAGTAATTATAAGGTAATTGAGTAATATTCTCCGAAAAACGACAGGAAACACGTGCCTTGACCCCCCCGAATCCTCCTTGAGCAATACACATTCTCAAAAATCCTGGATACCTCACAGCTTGGTAAAATGTAGTGTCGATTTTGTAAAATCTATGAGAATATGCTCTTATATCTTGGGAATACGGTAATTATTGACTGTTATTAGTGTATGATTATCGTCATTAATAATAATTATCAATATAATTAATATTAAATATGAATAATACAAAATATTAATCATGTTTGATTGAGAGAAATATTAAGAATATTGAATATATGATTCAAGTAAATGACTAATGAATTAAGAGAAATAAAAGATAGATAATGGAAAAATATATATTTATAAATAAACTGGAATTTATTAAATTCTATTATTTCTAGTATTATGTTACATACAGGGTGAGTCAAAAGTCTTCATACAAATCCAAATTCTTTACATAACAGAGATTATCTAATAGAGGAGGTAATTCAACAATGTTAAAATATTATAAAAATTTGAAAAAAAATAATAAAAAATTAAATTAGATTAGATAGAAATTAAATTAAAAAAAAATTCATTAATTTAATTAAATATCATACCGATACATATACTTAATTTTTGAATATGTGATTTTTACTAAATTCCTTCTATTATATATTTCAATAAATAAATTATTTTTATTGCATGAAAATAGTTTATAGATAAATAATTGAACTATTTCTACCTAATAAACATAACATTCCACTTTAGTTATAACATAAACAAAAAACTGCACAACAAAAATCATTGCTATGGTTACATTGAAAAATCTAAGTTGAAAATCAATGAATGTGTAGAATAACAGTAAAGAATTACGATAGTGATAAAAGATTATTTAATAAAATCATTTAAATAATAATTTTTCATCATCATTTATCTACTAAAATTCACACACAGACACAGACAGACAGAGAGAGATTTTCTAGCATCTTTTAAGGAAATTTAGTTATTAAATTATATATGAAAATTGATAAGTTTCCAAGATAAGTGTATTTTATATATTAAATCTAACTTTAAAATATTTAATTTTTACATCTATTAAGTTTATTTTTACAGCAAACTTTATGAAGTATTGTCAGGATCATTTCTCAGTATTTCAGACAATATAAAAATGTTAGATAATGATAAGTCAGAGGTATTGTTCGAAATTTTTATTTAACAAATTTATTAGAATTAACACTAATAAATAATTATATATATATTTACAAATACAAATCTTGTTTTATTATAAAAAAAAATTTAAAGATGTATATATAAATTCTCAGTAAAATTTAGTTTATGATACAAAGAAACGTAAAAATCCACAAATTCGTTGACAGGGATGAAAAGAATTGCAACTAATGGAGAAAACGACACGACTTTAAATCCTAATTTTATCGTATTTTGAATAAAAATAAATAAAATATTCAAACATGCATATATAGGCTATATTGTATAGGAATTACAAATAAAATTTTTATTTATTATGATGATCGATGGCAATTTTAGATATTAGGCATGTAGTCTTTTGCCTAAATGATCGAGCTTTTAGAAGTCTCTGATAAACAATCTTAAAATTTGCCCCTGTACATCATACTTTTCGTTTAACAATAGAGTCGTGCCGAACATCTAACACTTTACAGGAGAAATTTTTGAATTGAAATCACGTGACTTTCGGTGCAAACCGGAAGTTCGTATATAGTTAATAGGGGCCTCCTGCCCCTAAGGTTTTCATATCCGGTCTCGTCTTTCATCTATCTAACTTTTCTCGGGATTAAAGAAAGACAGTGGAAATTTATAATAATAATAATAATAATAAATGTTTACATTGTAAATATAATTGAATTAATGAAATATTAATTAAATATTTAATTAAAACTTCAAAATATAAATTTTAACTGTGCATTAACAGCATTTATATTTCGATTTTCAAAGTTTTTTTTTATTTATAATCCTTATACAAACATATGACTGCATTTATAGATTTTTAATGTGTAATACGTAAACAATAAACTCCATTAAACTTTAGTAAGTGAATCAAAACTATAAATATTATTCAGAAGTAATAAACATTAAAATGCCATAATTAGATATTTCTGTAATAAAATATTTATTTACGAATTTCATTTTTATTTATCGTATATAATATGCGTTGTTTAATAGAAGAATCTCAGACACGTTGTTAATAATGTATTTAAAATAACAAGAAATATATAAAATTTGTATTTCGTACAAAACATAGGCTTAATTGTCATTCTTGTCACCCTTTAAAAGATCATATTTAATGAACATTTAAGACGTTTCTTAAATACATTTTCAAAATCTTCTTTGCTGTTTAAATAGAAGGTTAATGTTTTTCCTATTCACACTCCTTAAACAATGTTCTCTTATGTTATTAATTTCGTTTTTTTTTAATTGAAAATAAAGCTTTTCTGGATAACTTTAGTGTAAAATGTAAGAAATATTTAAGTATTTTGCATAATATATTGTATATTATTTAGTATATATAGTATTTTTAACTAATTTAATTCAGTTAATTATGTATAGTTATACAATAAGACAATGGCGGGATGAGGTTCCTACATAAAAAAAAAAGGTGANCATAAATGCAAAAAACAAAAAAAAGTGAATATTTTATACACATTTTAATTGTAAAATATCGAAATTTGTCGATATAGGCTATAAAATATCGAAAAATTTGACATGAAAATAACTAATATTTATTGAATTTTGAATAAAGTTATAATGTACTAATCTCGAAATACAACTGATATGAATTAATTTTTTTGTTGTTTATATAAAATATCAATAAGGTAAACCTTCGGTAGTTGGTGTCAGTGTTACGATAGAAACGTAATTACTTTTAATATTTGTTTTTTCGTCGTGGCTAGTGCGTACAAGTCACGATTAATTATTTAAATATAGGCAATTGTTATGAAGTGATCGAATTATTTTCTACTAATTACATAAAGTGTTTTGTGTTTTTTTTTTTTATTTTCCTGAACCTTTTATGCTCTTGAGATTTGGCGAAATTAACGGTTATGCTTATTTTTTGACAAGAGTTATGAATTTAAATTTCGGTTATATTTGCAAAGAATTAATGTATATATTATTTTGTACCCCTCTAGAACTACACGTATATATATATTTATTTATGTATATACATGCACCTTTTGTTTTTATAACGTACAGTATAGTATTTAACTGTTATACGAAGTATTAACTACAAATACATAAACTCGCTGATGCAGTTGGAAAATTGAAGAAAGAAAAAAAAACAGTTTATAGGTTAAAAGCGATAAATTCTAAGTTAGTTGCGATGTTTATAGCACAAGTTCGTGACCTCGCGTGTCCCATAAATCTGTTTCGGCTTTCATTTTGATCGAATAAAAGTAGAAAATTATTCAAAAATTATTTCTTGCATAATCATTATTATGCAAGTTCATTTTCATAAATGTGATAAACTATTAAATAAACGTGTAGTAAGTTAACTTTGATTTGGTATTGAATATCGACCATCAGACAGACTTTAGTACTATTATATATTTTAAAATGTGTACAAGAGAGGTTAATGGTATTTACGATCTATAAAATCGTATATAGAGAGTGCTGTAAATTTATTACTTTTTATTTTTTATTAAAATATTTTTTATGTTATAGCCGTATTTGAATATATCTAAATATAAATTTTTAAAGCTAAATTCTGTAACATCATTTAGACTAGATAATCTCTTTATACTTTCCTTGGAAGTGAAATTTGTGTTTAAAAATATATCTTTCACCTTTCCTAAATTAGAATTTTATTTAGGCCTATACCGTTATTTATTATGTTAATTATGCTGAACTAAACATAAACACTTAAGGCATTTATTGCCAGCATTGTACTAATTATAATTTTCATTGCTGCTTTAATAATATTTATAATGTCGTGACAAATATTCTCTTTCAAAGGAAGCATTGATGCTATTAAATTTTCATTTAATAGCATCAATGCTTCCTTTTACTCAAGCTACCACGTTAAATTTCGTTTCTTAATCTTCACTCCATTCTGAGATATTAAACGAAATAGATGTCAACACACACATCCACGGGATTTTTCTTTTGACCTTTTTGGGTTCAGGAGGGCTCAAAACGTAGAGATTTGCAAAAAAACTCGGAGGGTCAAATTTGACACGATT